GACAACTAAATACACAGCCTCATTTATTTTTCAACTTTTTAAGCTTCATTAATGGTTCAGCTGGAGTCCTGTCAAAGATTCCACCCAAAACCCAGCAGAAAGGCACGCAGTGGCAGAAGCTATCAAACCCCACTGGTATACGAAACTAGAACAGCCTGGACTTTTCCCCTCAACGGTTTTTGCCCACGACATAGGTTCTCTGTTCTGCCAAGAGGAGTGTGCGAGACTACGAACAACTGCTTTCCACAGTTACTGCAACGCACAAAGCAGCTTTATCTTTTTGATTATTGGAAGCCAGAAGCCATTTAGAGCTGAGTAAATACCAGGAAAAGCCGGTGACTGACGAGTAAAGCGTAATTTACTGCATCTCAGGCAAATGAATAGTTCAGGCTCTATTTTCAGACAGAAGCAGGAAAGCATGCAACCAGCAACGTCTTCACAGCTAAAAAGCAGATGTTTTCTAATTTGCCATTTTCTAGTTTTAATGGAAGCTCCTGACTTCTCACGCAGGTTTAAATTACACACTCTTCAATCTCTCTGGCTGCAAAGTCCAGAGGCGACAGAATGAGCCAGCTTCCATGTGAGCCTGCTCGGAGCCAACAGCAGGATGGATGCTCTTTTTAGACAGTTTCTAGTCAGATCAGGCTACAGCGTAGCTGCCACAACCTGGAGCTCAGAGCAAGCGACTGCTCCACTTGAGTGTATACTCGGGTTGTAGGAAGGCACCGAGTTTTGTGCTGGTGAACTGATACAAAACGACAAAAGCCACGGTCTCAGACTGATCTGCAGCATAAACAAATACTTAGTAATGGGCTGAACAAGCAGGAAAGTTTCATAGAATCATAGAGTGGTTTGGGTCGTTAGGGACCTTAAAGCCCACCCAGTCCCACCCCCTGCCACGGGCAGGGACACCTTCCACTAGACCAGGTTGCTCCAAGCCTCATCCAGCCTGGCCTTGAACACTTCCAGGGATGGGGCATCCACAGATTCTCTGGGCAACCTGTCCCAGTACCTCACCCCCTGTCCTGGCACTACAGGCCCTTTGCTTCTTTTAAGCTCACAGCTGGGTTTAAACTGGGTTTAAACTGGGTTTATCCTGATGTGACTATATTGGCAGCCTACCTATCCTGATGTGACTATATTGGCAGCATACAGCCACGGGCTCTGGTTGTGAGGGGGGGAAAGTTCCTGGGAAACACCCCCCAAGTAGAACAAGAGGTTCTTTAACACTGATTGAAGAGGTATAAAATGTGAAAATCAAAGCTGCTGGTACCATTTTGCCTCTTTTAACACGTTGATCCAATTCCAGCAACGCAATTTCTTTATAATCTATTTTGTTTTACATAAACTAATTATACCATCTGAAGAGGTTAACATAAGCTCATAGAAAGCTCGTGTACATTACCAAATCAGAACACAAGGGTTCCATAGGCAATAGGCCAGCCGTATCACCTTTCTTTTCCCCTTCCAAGGCCCAAGCTCTGATGGTGAAGTGCAAGATGAGCTACAGTTTGAGATGATGGCTCTATTTTTCACTTGAAGGAGCTCTTATTTTGCAAGACACATGACATGCATCCAATCTTTTACTTCTCCTCATTAGAAAATAACCTCAAACAGCGATAACAGTAATAGTGCAAAGTCTCACCTTTTTCATTCTCTTTGTATTTGCATGTGCCAGCTGGAATTTCAGCTTGAAACATAGAGCCCACCATGATTTCCTGTTTCGAAATAAAACCAAGAAGTTAAGCAACCACAGCTGTGATGTTTTTTGTTAGCAAACAAGAGAATGACAACTTTTTTTTTTAACCCCTTAAAAGTCCAATTGTTCAAAACTTAAAAAAAACCAGTTAACAGCATTATATGGAAATGGATTTTTGACTATTTGGGGAAGTCTTTAACACTTCTTAGTATGAAAACTCGTATTTATGGGGGAAAAATGGAGAGGATTTGGCTGATCCATAGAGCTCAGAGTTACTAGGTAACAGATCACCTAATTATTCATGAAATACAGGCTTTTTTTAACAGCACTCAGTATTTACCTTTTTCCAGTCCTCTGAAGGAATATAATCTTCGTCTTCTTCAGATTCCTCTTCTATTTCACTATCTGCAAGAAATTGTTCAACCATTTACACAAAATGAGCTGTGATGGGGCCCATACACGCCAACAGCAGGCCCCAGCAAGGCGCGCTGTGCAAGGGGGCCTAGGAGGTCGCAGCCAGCTCCCGGGAGCACTGCAGCAAGGGTGACCTGAGCCCAGCTCTCATCCATCAGCCTCCAGCCACACAGCAGCCCTGCTCTGCCTCGCTGCCACCTTCGCTAACAATACACAAGTGCAAACGGCCCTTCCGGTGACAATACTAAATGTCTCAGTACTGACAGCTTTCAAAAACGACCCACCCAATGTCCACATTCAGAATGGATTAAGAAACACAGCAGGCTCTGAAAAGCTAAGGCTCAAATGAAAACATCCATCAATTTTACTACTACCTCATTAAAATTTGCTTTCCCTCACACAGCTTTGAAGCAGCTGAGATGATCCACATTCAGATTTACTACAGTTACCTTCTGAAAGTATTTTTATGTGGATGTTCAGCATCTACACGTGGGTTTCAACACCATTTGCAATGGACTCCTAGCTTAGTTACTGCTGTTTTTTTCCCTTACAGTGGCTGACACTGAATTTAAGGTAGACTACAGCACAAGGTGCGAGAAATCTGCAAGTGTGCTTCTCTCCGTCTTCCTGGGATTTAGCAGGCTTGGATTACTGCTCTGAGATGCACAGCAGCATTTAAAACAGATTCTTTCGGATAAAGACTGACAAAAATTTTAAGCTCTTTATGACATAGGCTGGTTGCCTTCCACAACGTACTGAAAGCAACTGCAATATCTGGTTTATGTGATAATATCAGCACTGAAATTGTACATTAAATTACATCCTGTACACAGCTGAACATTGTAAAAATGGCCCAAACCTAATGCAATACAACTGCATTACGCTAATGCTATGCTTAAAACACAGAGCTCATTTAAGATATTTGCAACCCTCCGCACACCTACATGCTGAGGTTCCTCGGCATTTTTCATTAGAATAAACCTCAGATTAGAAAACTGCATTTCTACAGTGTCATGGATAGTAAGTACCAAGCATAAGGTATCGTAAGGAACCTTTGCTTTAACTTTGTTTATTAGAACAGCAAACTGGTGACGGTCACTCCCATCAGAGAAAGGGAAAATGTCTTTGTCCAAAAGGCCGTGCTGACAGCTCAGTACTAAAATGTTCAGATCCCATTAAGTCAGACTGCCACAGAAACGAGAACTGTCCACAGGGATGGCTACATAACACTAGCTCAACAGTCTCAAACGGACGCAAAACCTATTTTTAACCAAAACATAATCAGTCCACAATGCTGGCAAATGTGGAATTCTTGAAGCAAATTCTGTTCATTATTATCTTCCCCTGCATTATTCCAGGTTTAACAATCTCTTGGCCTTTTTCGGATTTCATTGCTTTTGGACCCTCACCTTGTTTGCACAAGCACATAAAGCGGTGTCACCAGGCCTCGTCATGATACCCGCCCACAGTGCGCAGCTATTACCCAGTTGGGACAGCTCACTTCCTGCTCGCAAATGCTTTTACCCATGTCCTTAGTATGAACGGGCAGCTGACACAGCGACAGCAAGGCAATACCGTACGCAACGGTTGTTTAGCGCATCTGGACTCCATGCACAAGCACATTTTCCTGAAGGGCACATCCATACACACCAGCTTGCAGGTCCACGAACTGGACAGTTACAACACTCGGAGCAGTGCCATGAAAGGATTTACACTGTCCAAGAGCCTGTCTTTTTCTAATCTGTAGAAATCCAAAGTTTTCCACAAATTCAATCCTTTAAGAAGAGAGAATATCTACTGTCCTTATACAGAGCCCCTTATCTGCAGAGACTCAGCCTATTGTTTTGTGCAGAAGGACAATGAAGAGCAGTGTTATGAAAGAGAACAAATATTTATAGGTATCAACACACCTATTTCAAAACCAGAATACTCAAGCAGTCCTTAACCAAATCTCAACTGTACTGAGATCTCTGTGCTTAGTACTAAACTGTACATACTTGCATCAAAATATTTACATCGACGAGGGCGAATTATCTCCTGGGGATCTTGAGAAGCAACAGATGGTGCTGGGTCGTCATTAGATGACTGAGTCTCATCTTCCTGACCTGATGAATCTTTTATGGTCTCCTCCTTAGACACAAAAAAGCAAACAGGAGATCAGCTATCCCTTTTATATGACAAACAGTATTTTGGCAATAGCTTTGCCAACACTGTCAATACATCAAACCCAAATAGATTGTGGCCTGTCAGACTGAGCCACAACAAATGTGTAAACACATCAGATTATTTATTGACCAGGATTTTAACCAGATCAATTTAATACTCAGACTCTAACATACAAATCAAATATGAACCACAATTAAATATCAACCCTATTTTTTTTAATCAGTCAAGTAAATCCTTGCAGTTTTAATTTAATTTCGTTTAACTTCAAATTTACTTCGGTCTTTAAAACCTTTCCTTATGAATTTTCAATAAGAAAGGGTAGGAATTATTTACCAGCTATACTTTTCTCAATCAAATGGAAATGGCACCTTCCATAAAAATTAGTGTCAACAGTGTGGTTCAACCCCACAGAAATAGCGTATCAACACACTCAAGTATGTACATCCAGTCATTAAAAGATCAAAAATTAGAACAATTAGAAGATAAATCACAACTATGGGAATTATTACAGTTGAGGAAAATTAAAATTATAAAGGTTAAAAAAAATACATGAGTGTTTTCTATTTCAGTGCACATAGTATCTTTGTTTTGTAAGCCCTCATACCTGCTAGTTCTAACACAGAGGCACTAGGCACGGCACGTGTTTATGTGTACCTCTACCAGCAGCCAGAGTATTATCACATGTGCAGCTTAAAGCAGATTAAAAATAGAAAATAGCTAAGTGCAGCAGCGCTAAATAAGCTGTAGAAAGATGAGCACTCGCAGAGAAAGCTTGAATGATTTATCAAATCATTCCACCCCCACAGATGTATTTTACTGCCTCTCTAAAAGCATGCAAGCATTTCAGAGCTCTCATTCTTGTACCCTGAGGCAAACCAGCATCGCGGGTTAGCTAGCTCGCTGCGCCCAGCCCTCCCCACCACCCCTGTCCCAATCCTACCAAAACCAGGGCACAGTAGGTGAGCGCAGGTAGTGACAGGACAAGGGTAACGGGGTTAAATGGGAAGAGGGAGATTGAGATGGGACATCAGGAAGAAATTCTTCCTGCAGAGGGTGGAGAGCACTGGGACAGGTTGCCCAGAGAAGCTGTGGATGGCCCATCCCTGGGAGGGTCCAAGGCCAGGCTGGATGAGGCTTGGAGCAACCTGGTCTAGTGGAAGGTGTCCCTGCCCGTGGCAGGGGGTGGGACTGGGTGGGCTTTAAGGTCCCTTCCAACCCAAACCACTCTGTGATATGATACTATGTTATGTAAGCTGCTCCCCCTCTCCTGCTTCTTGAACCTTTTCAGAGGTATCCTACTTCTTTTTGAACTACTCAACGCCATACAAATAGCAATCTCTTACAGCATCTGTCAAGGGAGTTTGCAAATCCTAATGAATCAGATATACCATTCCTCATCTCCATGTGACATTCCAGAGATTCTAAAACGGGTAAGATATCAAAGAACAAAACGCACCCTTTTTAAAGCCAGATTAGGTAATGGAACTTCCATTAATGTCTAAGCTTGGCTGTTAGGGAAAACACAAAGGGTTTCATAGTTTAATGGAATTTGGGGTGTAACTCTGCCACCAGTAATGGAGAGGTTACAGCTGTGCCCCTGACAGGATTGTTACACATATGTATGACACACATAAGTAGAAAAGACTCCTCTAAAATCAGAAAATATATTCTAAGAGCATGCAGAATGGGATTCTAAAGATGGTAAGTTCAAAACCATACATTTTGCAAAGATCTCTGAAGCATTAGATTCAATTAACGACAAGTACAGCCAGGGCTGCCAGGCTGAAAAAATACCATTTCAAATGGTAAAGCTAGAAAGCTTGCAGCCATCTCCAATACTCTGAGACACATTTAATTCAATTCCACAACTCACTGTTCAGTTTCAGATCATCAGTTTTTCGTCTTGAAACAAGTACTCAGCCGTATCTAGAAAGGTGCCTTCAGGCACTTAAAACTTCAATTCTGAAGTCAGACTGTTTCCAAAAGACAATTACAATCCCTTCTTCCATGATGCTATACGAATACATGGACCCTAATTTGCCACAACAACAGGTTAGAACGATACAGATGAAATTAAGACCAATGAAGAGAAATACAGATGGCTGTTTAAGAATAAACAGTAGAGTTCACCACACAAAGCATCCGAAATAAACTGTGTTACGAATCGCCTCTGCCACGGTCTGGCATCTTGAGCGGCTCTCTAGTACAGAATGGCCCTACAAAAATGTTTCACATTAGTGTAAGCACTTACTTTGTTTTCTCCACTACAGCCACTGTTGTCATCATTATCGACATCATCATCATCTTCTCCCTCCTCCTCCTCCTCTTCATCCTCTTCATCATCATCATCATCTTGGAGAGGAATGGTACCATCATAGCCGTAACGGCTAAGTAGCTCCTGGATCGGCATATCACTTTCCTGATAAACATTCAAACAGAGTTTGAGGTTTTAACAGAAATATTTCACATCCCACGTCTGCTCTACAGCTTAAACACAATTTAAACAACAACAAAACCTGAGAGATGATGATCAGGTGGAAGAATGGCCACTCCACAAATATGGATAGGCAAACCCAGAAGTTTCGGCTCCTAAGAAAAATGTGGTTTATGCAGTGCAAGTACTTCTTAATCCTGTATAAATTTACAGAAGGCCTTGCATGCCACCGATCTCTCAAAGGGGCCATAAAGCTCATTTAAAGGGCTCCAAAGGGCTGTCCACCCCCACCCCTCCCTGGGTATTTGTCTACTGCTGTTTGACCAAAACACAAGCAGCATGACGTAGCAGGTTATGTCACACCCCTTCAGTACACTCGCCACCTCCCTGTCCCTCACCCCTTCCTGGGCAAAACAAAAAATGAGGGGCGTGAGGGATCCCCTTATGTGCAGGATCACATGATATCCAGGTACAGATAGTAGCAATGTTTACAGACTCATATGCATTTTAAGCTAGTTGCCTACAAAAACATCCACAGTTGGAAAGAATTCTGCTAAAATACGTGCACATTTCAAAATCTTTGTATTTCGAACACTGGGCCACTCAAAAGAGGCATTTCAAATGATAGAGTCAGTTCTCAAATTCAGTGGCTCTCTAACTGTTCATTCACTTTATTAATAACAATAATTAATTGCCAGATCTGCATACTACCTTATTACTTTAAATACCTCAGCACCCAGCCTTCAGCAGCAGCAGACTACATCCCTAATGTGATTTTTTCAGAGCAGAAACTTTCAAAGAGCATTTTAAAATTCTCTCTCTCTCGCAAGAACCAATCCTTTGTTTACTATTTCGAGGCGTCTGCCTGCTCCAAATATTTATTCATAGTATGTAATGTACATGTCAGCTGATAATCAGATTTGTTTAGGTATCGGCTGACCTTCAGTTTCCTCCAGTGAACTCCTTTCCTAAGGGCCTTCACTGAGCAATGCGCGTCTAGTTTCTCAAACCACACTAGGAGTAACAATTACAAAAGGCAAGTGTAGTTAGCTCTGCTGTGTAAGAGTAACACAGGGGTTGCCAGTACTCCTTGCCTGTGTATTTTATTTTATTTTACTTCCATGCTCTGACTTACTGGTGTACTCTTGGGTTAAGCTATACGCACGGCAGATGCAGACCGTGTGCACCTAAACGTCCTCACCTTCTCTCCTGACTTCCTGGTCTTCATCTTTATCATCTAATGAAAGAACTCTTAGAAACGGGGAATTAATATTTCACTGATGCAGACAACATGTCAGGACTGTGATCTTAATTAAAACCTGACAGTACAGCTATCAGAAAAATCCTACTCGTAATTATCCAAATGTTCTCCGGTGCATTTTGGAAAGTGATATATTTCCGTGAAGCCCTCCTCTCCACCATCCCGTTTCTAGATACAGACTGAGAATCAAAAAGCACTGTTGCTACAATAAAAGCCGTGCGTGTGAACGATGTAACAGGCATATTACCACACGTTACCAAGGAAAGGGGTATTATATTTACGACGTTTTTCTTAGGTAGAGCCTCTTAAACTTCAAATAGGCCATTACAATTCAAAAAGCCCCAAGGGTCAGCAACTCTCCAAGACAAAACACAAATGTTAATTTCTGTATCGTTTCAGGATATCGCAAAAACAAAGGTTAAAAGTAACAAGTCTTATCAAAGACACAGAAATTTCTGATGTGGAAGATGTTTAATAACAAGAAATGAACTATAACCTGTGTGCCTGGAGTAGAGGTAAGTGGGGGGGGGTGAACTCTATTATAAGCAGCCCAGAGAAGGTAAATACAAATGACTGTATGCTCTTGAACTAGAAGAGCTCAGGGGCAACCACTGAAATGAACACAGAATAGGTATGAAAACCCAAACATGTTTCTCACAATCAATGAGCCTCACCACATCGCCATGTGCCTCGTGGATGCCGAGTTTACAGAGGTTAAAAATAAAATGGACAAATCCATGCGAGGAGGAAAAAATAACACTGACAGGTATTACAGAGACAACATCTTTTTCATACGTGCTTGAAGCGCACCCTGCTAGAGGCTGGAAGAGTATTTGGGAGAAGCATGCTTCCACGAATGGTTCTCTTGTTTAAAGACAAGACGATGCTGGTACATCACCCTAAGAAAACCCACGAGCCCTCCCTGAAAAGGGAGACCTCAAAAGGAGAAGCCAAGTGATTACACAGAACAATAAATGGAAAAAAGGAAAGGATTCAAAAGCTTAAAAATCTCTAAGTAATGCAGGGGGGCAGCACCCAGCACCCTGGCAATGCTCACCACTTCCTAGAGGCACCCAGGGAGCTGGTATACACCACCCAGCAGTGCTCTGCCCACAGCCAGGGCAGCACAAGGTAAAGAACTTGGCCTCACGCTCCTCAAATCCTCCCTGTCACACTCCCTCCAGCTGCTGCTTTGTACAGTCAGCTTAGCTACAAGTAGGAGGAAGTTGAGTTTCTGCAACGTGCTGGGGCCTGGCCATTTATTATTTCCCAGACAGAGTGCAAATGCAGTATCCTACCATCAAAATTCCTCTGTCAAGTTTCCCGTGTTTGGGAAAACTGCAGGGCCAGCGTATGCCCAGGATGCTGAGCTGTGCCTCGTTCCAGGCACACCTTTCTGAGCCCTGTCTCTAGGGCTGCTGGAGGACTGTGGTCACATCTGGTATAGACGCTCCTACATAGGAAAACAGTCCTGCTG